GGTTACAATTGTCAGGAATCAGAAGTTATTGATTCTACAAAGCCTTGCGAGAAAGTGGCTAGAATATGAGTCGACTCAAGAAATGGCTTCTGACGTCATTGCCAAGCACAATGCTGCTTTTTGTCCTGGGGAAGCTTCTGATCTACTTGAAGATGATGAAAGGACGGACTTGTTTGGCACAATAAACTTTTGAATGAACAAATCATGAATTGTTGTGTTCTATTGTTCTATGTCTTCTATTGACACAGGCCGGCAGATGATACAGAAACTCGCCCTGCGAAGAAGATCAAAATTTCATCGGAGGAAACCTGTGGAGAGGACCAGATTTCGTCTTTGGCCAAGCCGTGCCTAGATTAGATTGGTGATGAAATGGTGATGAAAACTTTCAAAAAAGCACAAAACCACATCGCAACATGTTATAACTTGTTCCTTGTCTTCAAAAAACTAAGGACCAAGTTGAGTATCAATGGTGCAGCAGACCTCATCACTGATGAAGGTGGTGATTGCTTGTTCCTTGCATCGCGGGCTCACAACACTTTCACAGCCTTCAGGGAGATGCTCTTTGATTGCAACCCAAAGTTTGTTGCTGTTGTTTGACTACATTCAAAGCAAATTTCAGGTTTTCGTTTGGCAGTGGAGAGTGGCGAAATGGATCAGACTCTTGTTCAGCCTTGGAGCACAGTACAATATGGTGGTCGGGTGCACTGAGTTTCTGATTCCTTCCTTCCAAGCTAAGGAGGCACAGGAGGTCTTGTCAGACCCGGCTGGCCGATGGTTTCTCTTTAAGATGGAGCTCGAATCTACAATCTTGCTGGAGAAGAAGGACCTTGGGACACATTTACAAGGCTTGGGGTGCCTCAATGGCCCAACCTCCATTGCTGATGTCATCCGCCAGCTTGAAGATGCAGGGGAGGCAAGGCAACTCAAACCAGTATGAAAAGCAGCAATTATATATATAATTTAATATAGATATATTATATATGGTTGGACGTGGTCGGACATGGTCCAATGTAGCTTGAGTAGGGAAGTTGCCCCTAGGTACAGCTTTCCGTGTCCCACCATGACCTGAGCTCTGACCGTACACAACTCGTTCCGTCTACCAACAAACCCTTGCTTTTTCTCCTGGACAGCCCCAATGAAGATGAGTCACTTGGAGCAGTTTATCAAAGATCTTCTTGGATAATTTAGGACATATAAACCTATGAAGAACTAACAGGAACATGGGCAGCACACCAATTTGGAAATCCTCTTGCAGGCTCTTGCATTTTTAGCTACCAAAATAAGAACGGCGGGCGAGCCAACAAATGATCAACCCAGGAAAAAGAGGAAGAAAGGCAAGAAGGCAAAGAAGAACAAGGATGGTGCTGGTGTCACCATGGTTTCATTTGGCAACATATTGAACATCAACAAGTTCAAGCAGAATGACAAGTTCACGATTGGTTTCCGATGCAGGAATCTGGCTCAATTGAATGTTTACATTGGGCTGTTTGAATTCTGAGGTTGCTTCTCTTTTTGCAGATATGCTTGCAAACACCTACCTTTTTTGCAGATATGCTTGATTTTTGCAAGTTGAAAGAACCTACCTTTCTTGACAGTGTTGAACCCTCTCGACTGAAGGCTGGACACATCTTCGGACGGAAGTACAAAAGTCATTACACCAGTGAGGCCAATTGCCTGCCTGAATGGCATGCTGGATCTTCACCAAACAATCATCCGCTTGATGTAAGCCCATGCATCACTGCGAGTTAGCTGCTTTAGGTTTTGGACAGATCATCTTATCTCCGCTTTGTCCTCCTTGGGGTGGATGTATACAAAAAGAGACTACAACACAACAAAACTACAAGCAGGACAGGACTCCAAGAATATAAAGTCTCTCAGGTAAACAAATTGTTGATCTTACAAAGTTAGAACTTTCAAGGATGGACTGCAACCTTAGCACCCCTGGAGACATCTGGAGATTCGGGGGGGGTTCCAGTTCTGAAGAACTGGGCACAAAACGTGCTGCACACGTCATTTGCTCTTTTGCTCAGTTTGTGAAAAGGAATGGTATGTCTTGCTTGCATGTCATCCAGTCTTTCCTTGAGTTTGTTTCACTCGTCATTACAGCATGTTATTGCAGTGTTTTGCATATGGCAAATTGCTCAGAAGGTCAAACCGATCAGCAGGGTGCTTAGCTTAAGGGGATTCGAGGATGGCTCGGGCTAAGCGCGATCGAAGTCCTTCAGAGGAAAGCTGTGAAATTATGAATGTGCCACCTGCTTTTGGCATTCCAGTTGCTTGAGATGAATGAGAAACAATGATTCCTGCATTCCAGTGCACAAGAAAAACAACCGGTATCTTACATTATTTTACCAGAAAATGTGTTTTGCTGCTGTCACAAACCAGCTTTATGCAATCAACCTTTGACACCTGAGGCTTTCAGCCTAGCTGAAGTGATGCGTGATGCTTCATCTACTCGGAGTGCACCACCTTCAGCACGGCCACCATTGAAACCAACTCCGAAGGGTGCTCCAGGGCTTAGTGGGGGTGCTAGCAGCTTGGTTGAGGTATTGGGAAGCCAAACCTGATGGTGTGTGTATTTTTTCCAAAGCATATGTCAGGAGTTGTTTTTTGCAACACATACGCAGCAGCTTTAATTTTCACTTGAGGTGCCAAGGCTTCCTCTTCGGGTGGACCCTCCCCACTTGATCATGTGCTACCACCAAGATACTCAGAATCTCAATCTCCAGAAGATTCCTCTTCCCAGCAAGAGGCAAAGAAAAGCAAAAAGAAGAAGGAGGGAGAAGATAAGAAGAAAACAAAGAAGGGGAAACCTGCGGATCAAGAAGAAGAAGAAGAAGATGAAGAGACGCAGCATGATTTTCTTGCCTTGGGAAAAGGTCGCAAGGATGACGATGAAGAAAACGATGATGATGTGTTGGATGGCATGAATTCTTTACTTCAACTCCGTGGGGACAAGCTGAAAAAACGACCAGCTGGTGGCAAGACGACTAGGGGTAGGCCAATCAAACGGCCCGCTGGGAATGACGCAAAGAAACATGAGGACAGGGTTTGGTTCAGTCTATGTACAGGCCCACATTGTGCCTTTTTATGCAGCCCTTGTCTAAATCCTGTGAACATTCACGAACCTTTTGCAGGACCAGGGGCTGAGTGGATTGGATGGATCTGGGGACACACAGCTGGATTATACACCGGATCTTGCTCCTGCTGATGAAGAGAACCTGTATTGCAATGTGACACACACACACACACATGTTTGATAAGGGCACATCAACACTGTTTGGACGATCCAAGGATGCTTTTTGACTTATACAAGCTGAATGTCATTGAGGGAGATCAGGCTCAGGAACATCCACTTTGGACGCCGCCGCCTACAAAGTTCACAGAAACCCCAGACAATCAGCTAGGCCTTTTCAGCTCTGAGACCAAAGTTTCTTCGCCATTGCTAGTGACTGAAGAAGTACAGGACTGGGTCAGCCTTGTCAAACACTGACCAAATATAAAAAGGTACAAAGACAGAAAACATATTGGAGGAATTACTAAGAGTAGACAGAAACAAGAAACACTGATTGGAGGAGCAAAGGAAACGACTACGACGCAGCCTATGCTTTTCTCCCAGCATATTGAACAGCCTCGAGGAGCCATGCAAAACATTGCAATAGACTACATGTTTTTTTTGCTCAGTCAGGCTTCTGGCATGTTCAATGTTGATTCTTGAGTTCTGGCAGCCATTCCTGTAAACCAGGAACAAGGTGTCGCTCCACACAGTGGGATTGCTTCAAGTGTGCCTGCTGGGCCTGCATCAAATGAACGTGAACCCCCTGATGATGTACGCCCCATTCCTGCAGAACCCCACAAGCAGGGTGGAAACAACAAGGAGGATGGTGCAGAAGTGCTTGATGATGGGTATGGCTCTGGTGAAGCCCAAGAGGCAAAGTCAAATGGACACCCAGGAGATGCACCCCAGGTAGACCCTGACCTCTTGTGTCCAGCCCTACCAAAAAATGTGCTCACGGACCCTGTGCCTCCTCATCCGGGCCCTTCAACCCCTGGTGTCTTGCAGGTCGCCACCCCAATGCCCAACGCCTCACAAGTGGCAAAGGAGAAGAAAGACAAAGCACTGGCAAAGGCACCCTGCAAACCAAAGACATCCCCCAAAGCAAAGGCATCCGCCAAAGCAAAGGCATCCCCCAAAGCAAAGGCATCCCCCAAAGCAAAGGCAAAAACAGCTCCAAGAATGAAAGGACGTGGACAACCAAAGCCCCATGCAAAGGCAAGCCCAAAAGGGAAAGCCAAAGCCAAAGGTCGCCCTTCCCCAAAGAAGCGTGCCCGCCAAATGGATGAAGTCGAGAAGAAGTTGCATTCGGCACCAAGAATTGCATATGAATGTTACGCTGTCCATATCATGTTTGCTCAATGATAATGATATCCCAAAAGGCTGTGGGGACCTGACAAGTATGTGACAACACTAAGGTATACAGTGCTGCATGGCATGAAGCAAAGAAGAATGGCCTATCAGGGGTTGAAGCACAGCAGTTTGGCAACTTTGAGCGAAAGAAGCTCCCCGGCAGCAAGTAGTTGACCTACATTAACTTGTTTGAATTACCTTTAGCTGTGTGTGTGTGTCTTTTTGCTGCATCGTAGTTTAAATGATGCTTGGTGTTATTTTGCATCTCACAACTGTGTGAGGTGGGCTAAAGAGCATGGTCCAGCATCTCACCATGCTGTTCAAAAGTGGCTGAATGCCACAAGCTGATTTACTGGCACAAGATCAGTGAAACAACATGATGAAGCGAATATGATGATTTTGGGAAAAAGACTATGCAGAGCGCCAACACTTACTTTGAACCATGCCATGCCAAAGGGCCAGTTTCAAAGGGGAAAAGTCTCACTTAGAGAGGGACTTCCCTATATATATTTATAAGTGCGATGAGCGATGGCCTCCAACCTAAGAGTACCTAACCACTGGGGCAAAAACTTCCCTTCCGCCGTCCGCGCACCTCCGTCTTGAGGATGTATTGGGTCTCTTGCTGATCCTGGCACTAATTCAGGACGAAGAACGTTTTTTTCTTCTTAGCTGTTCTTACAACGTCTAATATGTGGATCAGCCGCGGTCGAATTAGGACGTTCATTTTGCGTGGCCAGTGTGGGACGGTCAATCACCATCTGAATGTATGGCAAGACAGAAAGCTTTGGAGGGAGAAAATTAATGAAAATTCGACTACCATAAGTGTGTTGCAGGATTCCAAGGGAAAGGGTTGTCAAATTGGAACCCTCAAGAAGAAGTCCTAGTGGTGTAGGCCCAAGAACGTCTGCCTCCGCATAGACTATCTATGACACGTACTTAGGACAAAGCTCTGGAAAAGTTATCGGTGTCGAGAAATGGATAGTGGACTTGAGGCAACTTTGGTAGGCAAAGAACAATCCGCCGGCTCTTGGGCGCGGCGTGTTTTTGGTGATTGGTTTGTATGCTATCCTAGTAGTCGTTTTGTTTTTAGTCTAATTGTACCCACGGCGCGGATTTTTGACAAGTCTAACTTCCCCCCCCCCAAAAAAACCCCCCCCCCTCTCCCCCCCCTCCCCCCTGAAAAGTAGAGCCTACCTGTACAGGGTTCCACTCCAACAGCCGATATAGTGTGTCCATGCTTGACTGCTTCAAGGCTCAAAGAGCAAGAGGATAAGACTCTGCGCATAAAAGACACTAGCGGTCTGCACCTCTACCGTGTACGCCCTAGTCACTCTTTCAGTGGTAGCGGAGCAGTGATCCTGGAAGACCCAGGTGAGCTCCTTTCCTAGGCATAGACTTGCTAGTGGGCAAACAGCCATGGATTGGATAGACGACTGGGAAGAGCCTGATGCGGATGTGGCTTATGAGCCAGCAGCCTATGTGAATAGGCATGTGAGAAGAGAACTAGCAGCAATAGCAATGACAACACAGGTCACTACAAAGGTGCCCCCATCTTATGATGGAAAGACTTCATGGTTTTCCTATGAGGATGCCATAGACGATTGGTGTGATATCACCGAGCTGGAAGATGAGAAGAGAGGACCAGCATTGAGAAACAGATTAGAAGGAGAAGCAGCTGTATACAAGCGTGTTTTAGACAGAGATGCATTGAAGGCAAATGATCCACCAGGAGCCGGCGTAGAATATTTCAAACGAGTACTACGACCATATTTCGTGAAAGGATCAACCAATGTATTCCTGTATAGATTTATGCAATTCGTGCGCTTCAATCGAGGATCAGCTGACATGATGAAATGGATGACAAGATTCCAGATTTTACTCCAAAGGCTTATGAGCAGTTGGATGGACATGTTAGAACCAGTCACTCAAGCACATCCACAGGTCCTAGCTCAGATGCAGGCAGATGCAGCGTTGACTGGAGTAGCACCAACGGCAGAAAGGATTCAGGAAATCATGCAGACCATCAATGGCAATATGAGGACTCTTCATCAGAACGAATTTCCTCTAGGAGAAAATCTCATTGCCTTACTCATGCTGTCACTTGCAGATTTGTCTCAGGACCAGCGAAACACTTTGACTTCTTTGATGACTCATCGTGGCAGGGTCCTGCAGCAATACACTACAACAGAGCTGAGGACAGTTTTCATTGAGATGTTCTGCGCGACAAAGACTTCAGTAGACAATCCTTTGATGCAGCCGACAGGTGCTGGAGGTAGAAGATCATTCCTCGTGATGGAAGAAGGAGAACTCGATGGTACATTTGGCTATTGGGCCGAAGATGAAGAAGATGGAACAGAAGGATTTTTAGATGCCCTGGACGATGTCTTTTGGGTATATGATGATCAAAACTTCTCGTGGTTCCAAAGGAGATTCCAAGGAAGAAGAGCCAGAAAAGGCAAAGGAAAAGGAAGAAGAAAAGGAAAAAGCAAAGGAAGATCAGGCCGCAGATTCTTCAGACCTCGTGGAAAAGGAAAAGGAAAGAGACGAGGTAAAGGCCATTATGCTGATGAGCAACAGACAACATATCCAGAAGAGTACTTTGAAGAGAATCCTTATGAGGACACTTGGGAGTCAAACCAAGTAGCATATGATGCCATTCTTGCCGAAGATATGAATGACTATCTTCAAGGAGAATATGATGATGCCAATGACTTTTGGCAACAGCTTGAAGAAGCATGGTTTTCCCACAAAGGAAAAGGAAAAGGCAAGAGAAAAGGCAAGAAAGGAAAAGGAAAGGATAAAGGAGATGGCAAACAAGATGCAAACTATGCAAATCAACAACAGCCACGTTCTTTGCCTGCACCTTCAAGATCTTCACAAGCATCAGGAGGTCAACAAGGTTTCTGTGCACATTGTGTGACAGCAGCAGCTGAAGTCCATGACAGTGAGGTGAACTTGCTGTCAGGCATGATGACCTCATGTCAAGATGAAGCTGACTGCGCGGTCAACAATGGTGAGACGATCTTCAATGGCATGGGTGCCCCTGTGAGGTACTCTTTGTCAAAGGAGATGCTCACAAGGACTCCTGATGGCTTTGCGCTTATGAGCGCTGAGGAAGAAGTGAAGGAGATGCAGGCCATTTCATTTTTGACTGAGAATCGCTTCCCGCCGACTATTGCAATCCTGGACATTGGATGCACTAGAGCTATGGGATCAAGGCGAGCAGTCGACCATTTTTGCAACTATGTCGACAATCACTCAGATTGTGGATTATGGTACTCTTTTGAGGCTACCAAGAGCAAGTTTTACTTTGCCAATTCCCAGAAGGCTACTTGCTCTCAGAAACTGGTGATTTACATGTATGATCGTGCATGGACGATCCACCATACAGAGTTCGACATAGTGGAAGAAGGAGAAGTCCCTTTGCTTATGAGCTTGCCACAGATGAGGAACTTAGGCTTTGAACTCAGGCTGACACCTCAACATGCTTATCTGACATCGGTGCCTCTTGGTATCAAATATTTGGAGTTGAAGGTTGCAGCCAGTACTCATCTTGTCTTGGGCTTCCAAGATATTGCATGGTATCTGTCTGACGTGAATTTGCAGACTCGGCGCGAGAAGAGTTTTTACTCTCACTTCACTCACTATGAATATGGTCATATTTCTGTTGATCACAATAGTGATGAAGATGTAGCTGAACATGCATATCCTGTGGTTGACTACTGGGAAGTAGATGTTCACAAGAGAGAACTGATACGTCACCACAAGGATTATAGAAAGATTCTTTTTCCAGCAACTAAGTCCTGTCCTGTAGACACGGACTTACTGGAAGACTTGCGACTGACAATCATCAAGAAGAAGAAAGGAGGAGAAGAAATCAAGAAGCTAGATGATTGGCGCAAGGCAAAATGGAAGGACCTACAAATTGGCTATGAATGGCGTGGTAGAACAATTTTTAAGTTCAAACCAGATGCCAAAATTCCAGATCTAAAGATCAGGAAGGCTGGCATTGAGCACCGTGGCATTGGTGATCCCGATGCAGTGGTGCGCTCCTCCTCAGAGAAGGTTCCCATTGCAAAGGACAGGGAACCAGGCTTCTCGTCAGAGAAGGAAGGTGCACCATCAAGTGCCGCGGAAAAGCCCGTGCCGCCAAAGTTTCGGTATACTTCCAAGGGTTTTGATCCATTTTGGAAAGGACATAAGTCGAAACCATCTGAGCCTCAGAATGATTTAAAGGGTGATGATCTTGAGGAGTATGCTCCCTCAGAACCACCTGAGAGGCCAGAAGGTGAACTTGTAGAAATTCCTAAAGCATCAAAAGGACCATCAAGTGATAAACATGAACCACTTGAACCAGGTGATGGCGCTCTTGAGCCTAGGCGGATTTCAATCCCATTACCTGGTAGTGAAGTTGTTGCAATGACACCGGCATATAGGAAGATGTTACAGAGACTGGAGGACAAGGTAGAGCTTTATAAGCTTCATGTGAAGCACTACCATATGAGTCCTACTCAGTTTCGTAGACGTGTTTCTATGTTGAAGCTTCCTGACTCTGTTTTAGAGAAGTATGAATCAGTTGTCAGGAACTGCCGTGTTTGTAACACTTCAGTGGCACCTCCGCCACGAGCCAGAGTCTCCGGTATTAGAGCTTCATGTTTTGGTGATGTTGTTTTTGCTGATCATTGTGAGGTTGAACTTCACAAGAACAAGTATATCATCTTACTTGTTCTTGATGGTGCCACAAATCTTCTCTGGGCTACGGCACAGAAAGACCTCATAGATCAAACCACCATCCAAGCATTGAGGCAATGGTCTGATGAGAACAACTGTGTTCCAAAGGCCATCGTAGGAGACGAAGCCTTTTTCACCGATGCTTTTGTTGAATACTACAGGTTCCATGGTATACAACAATGTCCTTGTGGGCCAAGAACTCCTTGGCCAAACCGAGCAGAGACAGCTGTACGTTTGTTCAAACGTATGTGGCATGTTATGAAAGTAGATCTGGATGACCCACGTTTTCGTGGTGTTACGGTCAGAGAAGTGGTCAAGAAGGTAGTTTGGGCAAGAAATTGTCAGTTGACTATCAGTGGATATTCACCAATAGAGATAGCAACTGGAAGACGTCCACCAGATCTTTTTGACCTTGAGACCGCAAGCCCTGAGCAATTGTCAGCTAATGCCGCCGCACAAGATCGTACAAATTTGGAACTACAACGTGTGGCTTTGAGAGCTCATCAAGAAGCACGACAAGCTCAGGACCTTCGAGCAGATCTTGCAAGAAGGACTATGCCAAGTGACGGTCCTTATTTCCAAGGAGAGAAGGTTTTTGTTTGGACTCAGGATTCATCAAAGTTCAAGGATAAAGGACGTTGGGTTCGTGCCACAGTACTTGGACAAGAAGGAGCTATGGTCCAGGCCAATACTGGTAAGGCAGTGATACGTGTGAATCAGTCAAAGGTTAGACGCGATCACGATGAGTGGCATGATGTTTCCATACCGGCATTAGACGATGAGAATCCGGAGAATTTACGTGAAGATCACGAACTGTATGTTGATGCCGAATTTGGAGAACAGTCCTTTTTCTTCTGTAATGATGATCATCCTGATGTTGTTGAGTTACTTCATGGA